AAAGGCCAAACTGAGGTGATTCTTGGAGATCTCGTCCAGCGATGGCGCGACCGAAGCAGACGAAGGTCTAAAAACTGACGCGTCGGTCGCGTGAATTACTTCTAGACAGGAAACTTCAACAGTAATTCTGAATGCGCACAAGGACTGTCGCTGTATTTCTCTTCCCTTAAAAAATCCTCTACACAACCTTTAAAACATGCTCATAATGACAGAAAATACATTTGTGTTACCTCACTGACATTTATTGTCTAAAGAAAGTCTGTTTTTAATTGGGAATGTTAATCAGTATTGAGCATAGAGCAGGAGCAATTATTTTTTCCATGGGGCCACATGAGAAACAGAAAATATTGAGGAGAGCCAAAATGCTTAACTCAGTTCTGCATAATATGAATTGTATTTTGTTATAAAAAGCGGTAAATATAGCATAATTAATCACTGCATTTATAAAGCACCTTTCAAGACACCCAAAGCGCTTCACGGTTCATTGTTCACTCACTCCACTCTCAGCGAAACTGCCAATCTGCACCATCAGCCCCTCTGACCAACACCATCACTCACACTCCACTCTCACACTAGGCAATGTGGCTGAAGTGTTTTGTTTTTGGCACCTGGACTTCCCAGTGGTCTCCCATCCAAACACTGCCCAGACTCGGCCCTGCTGAGCTTCTGAGATCTGTTGAGACAAACTGGTGTGGCCGCTGCATTGTTCTGACGAGCTGCTAAGACTGGTAAGAGTTTGTTATGACTAAGCAATGAAAAAGTGAGGTTGCTTTACCAGGGCAGCCACAGGGTCTTAAAAGTCTTAACAAGGTCTTAAATTTCATGTTCCTAAATTAAGGCCTTAAAAAGTCTTAAATGATGTTGTCCAAGTCTTATTTTTTTCTTAACCCTCTGTTACGACCCAAAAGATTGGAGTCCCAACATATTTAGGAAAGGACACGGAAACCAAAGAGTTTTTATTTTAGTTTGTGCAAAGATGTTTAAACCCCCCAAAAAAACCCTACCCGTGCCCAAACCAAAAGTAACAACAGAAAGGTGGACCTGGTGAGCCGGCCCAAAAGAACAAAAGGGTGCGACACCGGGACAACCCCGTACAGGGCCGTAGGAGCCGGTGCCAGCGCCCGTAACTAAAGACCAAAAAACCCAACAACCTAAACCCAACAGAAAAGCGAAAACAGTACAGCCGGTCCCACCAGGTCAAACAAAAGGCTAACGGCTAACACAAGCTACCAAAACGATGGAGCAGGAGAGCCAGCAGGGCGGCTCCCAGCGCGAGGCGTGTGCGCTCCGGTACCTGCGGCGGACGAGGAGGAGGAGAGAGCGAGAGAGAGTGAGGCGGCGCCGGGCTCGCGCATTTAAGGCCTCCTGCCGGAAATGAGGACAAAAAAACTACAAAAACATAATTAACTTATAAGAACAAAACTAGGCAGAAATGCTACAAAAATATGAACAATAAAAAGAAAGCAGGGAAAAACCAAAAGTGCCCAAACGTAACCCCCTCTCAGACTCAAATTAAGTTTTAGTCACAGGAAAAATCTGATATTTGGGGAAAATGATCATATGGGGCAGTAATACTAATAGTAATTAGATATTGAAAAGCTCAGAAACTATACACATTCAACATTTGTGACTTGTGATTACTTTTGTAACTATTAATTAAACTGACATTAAAATAACATTTTTACTTTTGTATTTACCCTTTGAACTGCTCTTCCTTCCTTCCCTTCTTAACTGATCAGAGCTGATATCAAATTATCACCATATATCAAATCACCAAATGCACAAGTCACTGTGGCTATGTTCAGACTGCATCTGAAGTGACCAAAATCTGATTTTTTCGCCCCTATGTGACTTGTATCTGATCTTTTAATGACAGTCTGACACACTTTGTGTTTGTTTGTGTTTGGGTTTGCTCTGAGATGCTGCTAATGAATTGCCTTATGGGATCAATAAAGTTTTCTGAATCTGAATCTGAATCTGAACGTAGCCTATGTGATCTGCTGCTTCATGTTCCTGTCAAAGGTCAGGCTGCTCTCAGATTTGGCACTGACTGCAGGGTCCAACAGATCCCCCCTCGTGCACTTGATTTTATTACCCAGCATGCCATGTTTTTCACTTCTGACACAGGCGGAACTTAATTGTGTGAACAGAGAAACCAACAGCTCCAGCTCTCCAGACTCTTCCACACCCGCTGTAACAAAAAGCACATGCACCACAAACTCTGGAAAACAACAGCTGCTAGTTCAAGTCCTGACACTTTAAATAGTCACTGACTCCAGCCACTCTGTTTATAACTTTAATTATGGTCACAATAACTCATAGTATATGAGGAATTATGAAACCTTCAGCTAGTTTCAAGGAAAGATAAAGTTGTCAAGGACTTTTAAAATGACGTCTTTATTCTCTTCTTTCAGTAGACACAGATTTGTTTCTTCGGTAACAGCTCCAACTCATCAAATCCAAGTGTGATTCTCATACCGTCAGTGGGCCTGTGGAGCTCGGGGCAAGTATGCAACACATCCATCTCTGTCAGAGAAATAAATAGCCCGGGCTGTAATAAAGATCAAGGCAATATCAGGGGCGCCCGGTTTGTCCAAATTCAGAGTCCCAGAAGACGTCAAAGACAAACTGCAGCTCCTCGGCCCGGGCAGCGTAATGGCCGCTGACGAGCGCAAGTCCCCGCAGCAGCTTGAAAACTGACGTGATTTATAGTTATGAGCCGTGGAGATGAGAACTTTTTTCTGAACGTGATTAAATGAGCATTCAAACACGCTGCGGGGGGTTATTGGAGATCTCTTAAACTTCATGATTAAACTCTTGGATTCACCGTAACTCCACACAAACACGTAAATGTACCTGCACACGCCTAGAAGTTATGTAAAGTACTGACGATTCATTTTGGATTTTTCATTAATAGATTATTTTTAATGAGGAAAATTCAACTGTACAAAACTAAATGATAAGTACTGATGATATAAATCGATAAATAATGACAAAAGAAAATAGACATAATAAAAATAAATAAATACAAATAAATGATATAAATAAAATAAATAATAATAATAATAATAACAATAATAATTAAATAAAGAAATAAAAAATATAATAAAAAAATACTACATATTTAAAAAAAAAAAAAAAAAAGGGATGGTCCAATCTGATACTGGTATTGAATATCAGGGCCAATAATGAAAAAAAAAAAAAAAAAAAAAAAAAGGCTAGATCAAATATCAGCTTCCAAATATTGATTCAGCTGATATCCTGGTTGGACAAATAAATTGATGTAATAACACAGTTTACTGATCATGGTCGGCCCAGAAAGTCTCAGAATGTTTGAACTTTTACTTAGACAAACTTGTTCTGTCATTACTCCTGGGATAAATAACACTTACATAACACACAGGTCAGTTTTGTTTTATTTTATTTTTGTTTAAAGATGCTGTTTTCAGTCTCTGCACTGGTATTTGTGGATATTGGGTGTCAGCAGATACTTAAAACTCTAGTATCGGAACTGAAAAACTGGTGCATTCTTATCAACAACGCCACACTAGACTGTAACAAACATTTAAAGCTGATTAATTAACTAATTACTCTGGCAATGATTATGTTTTTGATTGATTAGTCAGTAGATGCTCTTGTGAGATTTGGATGGATGGAAAAAGGGTTTTTCATCAAAAACATTTTCAGAAACCTAAATATTACTAAATGTGTTGCTAATCATTTAAAGTTTCAGGGCAGGGGTCCCCGGTACCAGGCCGTGAAAGGGTGAACCCCCTCCCGTACGCTGCAGGGACCGTCCCCCCCCCCTCCTGCACACCGCGCAGACCGTGTCCCCATCCCATACGACGCATGGAACGTTCCTCCTCCCATATGTTGTGTGGACCGCGCCTCTAAACCTGAACTAAAACCAGTACTAAACCAGGTCTAAGGCTGCGTTCAGACTGCAGCCTGAAGTGACCCAAATCCGATTTTTTGGTCCCTATGTGACCTGTATCTGATCTTTTTGACATGCGACAGTCTGGAACGACTACACGATGAACGTCACTATTCTGCGCTGAAGTAGGTGAAAATTGTCACTAATGAAGCACATCACCACTCTTGGCTACGTCTCCACATCCACACGTTCCTTTCAACGGACGTCGCTGCCGCTGCCCCACAAAACACCACGACCAAAAACCTCGTCCTTCTCCTTCTCAATCTCCTCCTTAAAACAAGTAAGTTGTTCATGTTCTGGCTCCGGTACGAGAGGAACTTTAAAATCTCCAGGTGCTCAATGCTGCGTCCATGTTTGGACAACTTCCGTAAACACAGAGACGCTCCTGCGGTTTGACGTCGTCGTGTCTCCAGTGTCACATGCGGGACACTTTTGGGCCGTTTAATGTTCACACTGGAGTCACATACAAGTCACATTTAACTGGAAATGTGAACGACCTCGCAAAAATATCGGATTTCACAAAAAAATCGGAATTGAGCGTTAAGCCCTGCAGTCTGAACGTAGCCTAAAACAGGGTCTAAAACTGGGTCTAAAACCGGGTCTAAAACAGGTCTAAAACCAGGACTGAAACAGGATTTAGTCAGGACTTAACCATGCTGTCTATATGCCGCCCCCTCTCTGGTCTGCAAAATATTGACAGATATAAAACGGGTCCGTGGAGCAAAAAAGGTTGAGGACCACTGGTTTCAGGGTTAAAGTTAACATTCTTTTCCCTTTGAGACTTTTTATGATTTATGAAGCTGCAGATGAATGTATTCTGAAAAAGGTCTGCACCTGTGTCTTGGGAGTTACTGAAATACACACAACCTTGAGTCCAGTTTAATTGCTCTCCTTGTGAACAAACATGGAGGCCACAGAACAAATTACTGTTTGAAGACAAGCACGTACTGTAGACTCGCTGCATTTTCTATTGATCACTCAAGTGTGTTTGGGGCCCTGTCCATGTCAAACACACAGACTTTAAATGTTTTGAACAGCACTTTGAGAACCTGTCTGTGTGTTTCAGACCAGTGTGACCGTGGAGATCCGGTACCAGCCCATGGAGGGCACCGTGGGCTCCTGGAGCGAGGGGGAGTTCCTGGAGGTCCCTGAAGACAGAGACGGGGTCTTCACCTTTGAGACAGACAGCCTCCTGTCCAGCCACGGCTCAGGCACCTCCCCCGGCCGCTCCCTGCACGGATCTATACCCACCTTCAGGAAGTAAGCACCACTGTACAGCCCGCTCTTCTTTCTTTATATAATACTGCCAAATTTTAAGGTCCTACATCACACATAATACACTCTTTTTATCTTTAAGACATGTTAGAATGTTGTTACCGCCTCAAAAACATACCTGCAGTTCTGTTTTGTTTCCTTCATATCCCTTTAAAACGATTCACACTGTAAACACGGAGCCCGACAGTCACAGACTCTAATATCAACAACTCAATATTAATTCCACTGAAATGCCAAATGTTGTGTAAGCAAATACAACGTTTGTCCAACAGAGGCCACATCACTCGGGCCGATCCTCCTCTGTGTTTTCTGAAGCGGAACAGTTGTAGCTCTGACTGACATTTTTCATTACACACAGTACGATGTGCTTTTGCTTTTCCCTCTGCTAATGCACCTGTCCTGGTGTGTGTCTCCTCCGACAGGCTCTCAGCACAGCAGCAAAATGTAGATGAAGCAACCTATTAAAATTCTAATTAATAAAAGGCAAAATCACCCGTTTTTATGACAAAAATATTAAATGACATTAATCAAAAAATTGTGAAGCCTAAATTAGAAACTGAATTCCACAGTTTACACATTAAAAGTCATATATTATGGAAAATGGACTCTTGTGAGCTTTAAGTCATGTTAAAATGTTGTTACTTCATCAAAAACAGACCTGGAGTTGTGTTTTGTTTCATTCACACATGTTTAAGTCATCTTTTATTATTAGTCTGTTTACATTTCCAAAGCTCAAAACGCTCTGTTCTACCTTGTGATGTCATGAAGTGGTGTTTTTCAAGTTAACAGCAACATTTACCTTTAGTTCAGAAGACTTGGCAATTACAGGACTGAAATCGTCCAAATGATTATAGAGAAGATGTGTGGACTTATATGATGACGGTCTGAACAGAGACACAAAAGTGGCGTCGCGTTTTCACTTTTTATTCCGCGTTTAGACGAGCGTTTTCGGGAGGTGACGCAAAAGTGTGTGGAATTCGATTGTGTATGCATGCCAGGTTTCTGTGTACTGTATGTATGTAACGTAAACGTGTACGTGACGTGAGCAGATCTGACCAGAGTTTTGCGTCTTGGGCAGTGTAGACGGAAACGCTACGGCGGAGCGTATTCAACTTTTACACTCTGGAGGGTGGTTTCAGATTTTTTGCGTTTTTAAAGGTTGTATGGAGGATTTTATTTATTTTTTTTGTTTCAAATTGTCAATGATAGATTATAGAGGTGCAGTAGCCTTGTAATTATGATGACCAAAAAAAGAGAATAAAAATTCATCAACTCTGGACGTGGTCTGGGCTAAACATTTGCCAAAGATAACGACACTGCTCTTGTTATCTGTGAGCTGACAGGCTGTCAATCAAACTCCCTACGTTTCTAGTGTAACTGACTTGCCTGCGCCGCCGGTACGTGGTTTACGTACGACTGTTCACACAGTCCACAGACGCAAGACGCACAACGCTTGCTTTACAATCCACCAACGCAACAGTTCATTAGCGGCAATTTTTTTTCCATTAAATTTTTGAATGATTAAATATCTTCCTCGCAGTTCGCACAAAGTTTGTTGCGATGGCGACAAGAAAATCCAGGAGCAGTTCGCCGCAAAAGAAAGTCCATTTTTGAGGTCGCTGAAAGACAGAGACAAGGGGAAAGCAGCGAAGCCAAACTAAGGTGATTCTTGAAAGATTCATTCCAGCGTGGACTCTGGCGCAGAAGCAGACGCAGGGTCCTAAAGACTGAGCACTGGTCCACAAATTACTCCTGGACAGGAAACTTCTGCTTATTATGAAAACGTACTTTATTTCCAAGAGCGAGACAAAACGTTTTTTCAGGACACGAAAGCGATATCCTATGTCTGAGCCAGTGCAGAGACCTGAGCACAGGACTTATGTGCTCGTACTTCCTAGTTCGAACAGCAAGACTTGGCAATTACAGGACTGAAATCATCCAAATGATTACAGAGAAAATGTATGGAGTTAAAGGCTACGTTTATATGATGACGGTCTGAACAGAAAACGCAAAAGTACTGTCGCGTCTGCACTTTTTATTCCACGTTTAGATGAGTGTTTTCGGGAGGAAATCTGCGTGCATACGGTGACGCAAAAGTGTGTAGAATTCGATTGCGTATGCATGCCAGGCACATGTGTGTGACGTAAACGTGTACGCGATGTGAGCAGATCTCACCAGAGTTTTGTGTCTTGTGTTTTGAAACGGAAACGCTACAGTGGAGCGTATTCAAATTTTCCACTCTGTAGGCTCAGAGGGTTTTCGTTTTTAAGCTCCAAAAACGCCGTCACCGTCAACAAAAGGCACTTCCGATGAAATATTTAGTTGTTTTTCTCTCTCCGTCCCTCAGTCTGTCTGCATCTCCAAAGCTCAAAACGCTCTCTTCCACCTTGTGATGTCATGAAGCTGTATTTTTCAAGTTAACAGCAACATTTTACCTTTAGTTCAGGAGACTTGGCAATCACAGGACTGAAATCATTGAAGATTTTTTTCCGTTAGAGAGAAGAACTCAGCCTAAATCTGCAGGGTTTGTGTCTTAAACATGTGAATGAAACAAAACGCAACTCCAGGTCTGTTTGTAATAAAAACACAACATCAAAATCTGAAAATAGTTTAATATATGATAGTCACATTTGTTTAAAGCACTTTACAACAAGGAGCCACTCACCCATTCACACACACTCATACACCAGTTTACGCAGACACTAGGGGGCGAAGTGGGTTAAGTGTCTTGCCAAAAAACACAACAACAGCGTTCATTCCAACCTGTGCGTCAGTGGATTTGACTCTGCCAGTGATGTTTTATGTCAAGAGCGGGATTAAAACCTCTAACATTCGGATCAGTGGACAAAATCTACCAACTGAGCTACTGCCCCTTTAAAATACAGTATTTTATTTAATTTTTTTTTACATTGTGGATTCAAACAGATGTATTGTGTATTCAATCACTGAGGCAATGAGCTGCTGCTTTATTCCAGTGCTGTGATTTGCTCTCAGACTGTATGAATAATGCAGCAAATACAACATCCACATATGCCCATGGTACATATGGTGAATGTATGATCAGTACTTTATCTGTACTGCAAACACACGTAACACTGTGGTTGGCTTCCTTTCTGGCAGAGATTTACATAAAATGAAAAATATAATATCAAATGAAAATATATTATGAAAAAAATATTCCAAAAAGCTTACAGCAGCACTAGTATTTTCATTTTAGCCCTATAGATGTGTTGATTAAAGTATAGTGTATGGTTTATTTATTGCTTCCCCAAACGAGGGTTATCGAAAGTCAGATACTAATCGATGCTAAAAATAGATACTTGTTTGAGCAAATACAAAAATAATCACATTTACAGGACCGGAATGAGCCTTTCCTATAGTTTTAGAGTAAAACGCCCATGGACCACTATGGAACCAACTGAGGGATCACACAGATTTAAGGCTGAATGGGAATAAAAAAAATAAAAAATAAAATCAATTGTATCAAAATCAAGTTTGGAAGACAGAGACATGCACATCCAACAAAAATTGTGGCTACATTCTGGGTCCAAAGACAAAAACAGTGCAAAAAAAGGAAGAAGATCCACACTGCAGTTCTCCGAAGCTTCTAAATTTTTTTTTCAATGACACCACAATGTGACGTTTCAGTCCAAACTCTTCTCTGGACATGAAAGGTTGAGTTCCACACCTGACCACCAGCTGACCCACCAATAAAAGTTTTTGATTACAGTTGTTGAATAGAGTCTTTAGTACAGAACTGGTCTTCAAATTCAAGTTTGAAATGTTAGTAACGTGACAACACAACCCCGAACCTAAGTACCGTATTTCGTGCTCTGGATTATAAGGCGCTCTGTCATTAAATGGTCTATTTTCGAACTTTTTTCACAAATAAACCGCGCCGGACTTTAAACGAAACACAACAGTGTGATGGGTGAGTGGTTTTGTTTGTTTGTTCGTTCACGGTGACTCTGGGCTTTGTTCAGTTGTGGCGTGTAGGGAGGGTGCTGTCTGGAACCAACGGATTGTCGGCGTGTTCGCAGTGACTCAGTTGTTCAGTTTTGTCTAGAAGCGGCACATCGCGCTCGCTTTTTTGGTTCGTTCCTCCTTTCTGTTCCTCGTGTGTGTGTTTGCGTGTTCTTCAGGTGGTGCGGCTTTGTAGTTTACTAAAGTCGTGCTGGGACACCCGAGTGGATTTGTGTATAGGGCGCTCTGGATTGAGGGGGGCGCAGTCGTTTTTTGATGGGGTTGGAGGTTTAAGAGCCCTATAGTCAGGAAAATATGGTAGGTAAATAGCTCTGATACCAGTTGTGATGCTATGGCTTTAAGTATCTGCTGATATTCGACGGCGCGTAGACTGATAACAGCATTTATTTCCTTTAAACAAACCTACAGTAAGACAAAACTGATCCAAATGTGTTATTTATCTCTCAAGCTACTATAGATCAACTCTGTATAGGCCGAAGTCCAAGTTAAAATATGCTGAGAGCTTCTGGGGAAATAGTTTTATGGTAAACGGTCTCTCTCTTTTATACAGCGCTTTCGACCTTCAAGACACTCAGAGATATTTACATCGAGAAACCACTCACACATTCACACACGAGTGTACGCAGACATCGGGGGCGAGGAGGGTTAAGCATTCATCTGTGGGAGCTGGAATCGCACAACAAATCCAATGGACTTTGCCGCTCAACCAATGATTTTTATGTCAAGAGCAGGATTCAAACACCAACCTCTGGATCAGTGTACAAATGCTCAACCAACTGAGCTACTGTCGCCCCATGGATTTATTTGACCAACCAGTATATTGATTGAACCAATATTTGGCAACCAATATTCGATCCAGCAAAATGTTCTGTATGAAATCCAATACACAAAAATCACAGTTCAGTTCCTACGTGAGTTTTAAGGTCACGGTTCGGTTAATTTTCGGTACAGTGTGGGAACAAAATGGAAAATAATTTGTATGTTTATTAAATCAACAATTT